TTTGGCTTTCCCCTGAAATAAAATAGAAATTTACACCTTCACGAAAAAGAATCACAGTGAATATAATATATAACTGTGTAAGGACTCTTTAACCTCCATTTTCCTTTATTTTTACAAAACCCATGTCTTCTCATCCTTTTAGATCTTTTCACTGATTCTCGGGAAAGTTCGTGCTAATACAAATAGTAGGTTCAAGCTAGAGATTTGTTACGGGTAACTTTCAAAAATTTTCGAAAAATATTAACAAAATTTAACTCGTGCGGATCTATGCACCGAAAACTACAATCCAATGAAGATGAGAAGATTTTTCAAATGAACAAAAGATTCTTCCCGTGAGTGTAAAAAAACTTGATTTATGATCGAATATTTCAAACAAACCGGTTTCCTCCTTCCACCGCTAGACACCGTCGTCATGGCGTCGTTCTCAATAATTTGCACATTGCGAACTGTCTCCGCATGACAACCATCTACAATATAACAAATTAACGACAAAAAAATGATTTATACCCGACAAAAACACTTACCACTCAAGGGAACATCTGTTCTATTCACCACCACCGTCTCAGGCAGGTCTTTTTCTTGATTACTAAGCAAAAATTTAGCAATAAGGGTATCCCATCGCTTTTGTTTGTTCATTGAATAGGGGACGTTCGGGGAGAAACCATCTATTTTCTCTGCAAGAAGTTTCTTCTTGTAGCGCTAAATTAGAAAAGCATCTAATAATGAAAGAATTGATCATTGATGTGGAAATAACCTTGCTAAGCGCATTTGCTGGGTCGCAGAGTGTTTTTGTGAGATACACTTCCTTGTCCGGAAGTTTTACACTTTGTTTTCCCCTCCCATGTATATATGCGTCCACGGAGCGATGGTCCTTTTCAAAGCTGTAAGAAATGGTTTTCAGAGAAAATTTCTCGAATATTGTGTTTTCTCATGATTTTCCGATCCCGAAATTCTACCGCATTTGGTCATAAACTTCCTACCATTAAAGATAAATAGGTTTTGGAGTGCTGTTCGATAGAGCCAAACAAGTCTATAAATTGGCCTTGAAAAATTTGCACCACTTTCGATCCACGTCAAGTTCGAACCCAAAATCTATAAAAGTTCTGATTTCCAGACGATTGGAAAAAGATGATATCTTCTTGTAAAATTGCATATAATTCATCACTCAAGCATAGAGCTCCACATCAGACACTCATATTTACCATTTCTATATTTATTTTTCGGCTAAGAACTGACAATGAGAAATTAATATTTTTTATGCTCTTGCAAAAGCGAAGCTATATCCCCATATGAAGTTTCATCCATAAAGTGGAAAGAAGCAAACCTTTTAACGACATCTTGTAAAGATTTTTTTGCTCTATCGAATGGAACCCCAAAACTTTTTTGGGACAAATATCATATGACTTATTGTAGTAAAAATTCAGGGTTGCAAGTATCCATGAGACGCCTAACAATAAAATGTACTCACATGTTACAATTTCCTATATTGTCGGTATACGACATTGTTGCTGTCGAAAAAGCCTATAAAAATTATTTAGAAGTTTAACTAAACGGCGGAGGTGCAGCACAACCAGAACAGGATGTAGGAACGACAAAAAAAATAGATAGTTGGGTTGAAAATTTTATATTTTGATGGAGAATTGGTGAATGGAATGCTGTAGCTCAGCAACTGAGAAAATGCAAAGAATGCTTGACCAGTCCTGTTGACCACCTATTTATTCTATTTTCTAGCGCACGT